GTGGGCGTACCGGGAGTATTTAATTCAGTTTGTACCTTCCTTTGCCACATTTTAAGATCTGTTGATGGACATTGCGCCTTATTGTCATATACTTTCTGAGGTACGTTTCGTATTTCCGTAAGATACTTCTCACGCAACAAATTGTTAGTCTCCTTTTCTACTTTCAATTCTGTCTTGGTGTCACCTAATTCCTTTTCCAAGCCATCTATTGTTCTTTGTTTGTGATGAAGATCTTTAAACATACCTATTTTAACTTCATTCATTTCTTCTATCTGCCGTTGTAGTTGTTTAAAATCTTTATGTGACTTTTCACGCTCGTCCTGGGCTATTTTTAAGTCTCGACTGGTTTTCCACAGCTCATCATTCATAGCCTCACATTTCTTGGTTAGGTTTTGTATGGCCACGACTTTCTCCCTGTTGGCTACGGTGTCCTGTTGTTGCAAATCTGCATTTAGCTTTTGAAGACTATGGATTTCTTTTTTTGCATCCAATAAATCATTCTCAAATGATTGGTTCGATAACTTACAGTTTTCCAAATCAACCTTGAGTTTCTGTATCATCTTTTCTTTAACACATATTTGCCCTTTGAGACTGATTCTCTTTTTTTTAAGTGCACGAACGGTTTTATTTAAAGTCAATTTTTTTGATGTGAGCGTTTTGTTATTTTCCTTGATGGTCTGAATTCTATCTTGTAGGGTCCTTTGATCAAGAGTCATTTTGTTCAGTATTTTATCACATATTTTAAGAGATTTATTCTCCTGTTTGAGTTCTTTAATAGATTCCTCCTGTTGCGAGATCTTCTTTTTCAAACCAGCTATCTCTGCATTTGCTTTTTGAATTTTAAAGTCATTATCTAAAGCTTTTTGTTTCATATCTTTTTCATACTTCTCATTCGATTGTAATTTTTCAGTAGCTTGTTTCTCTTTCAGTAACAGAATTACTCGTTCATAATCCGTGACTTTTCGAGATAATTCATTTCTTTCTCTCTCCAGTTCCTTGTTGCGTTTAAATAATTCCACGTAAGAGGCAGGCATAGTTGATTTCTGACAATCCGATTTGCTATGTTCAGAGACGCGACTCCTTCGATGTCCAAAGGTGGTTTGATCTCATGACGGCTTTGGTGCTAAAGATAAAGGGCTTAGCAAGCGCACGTACAGACGTGCGCGCGCACGTACAGGCGCACGTTCGGACGCACGCGCACACACAGACGCGCACGGGCGCACACACAGACGCCCACTAGTCATCATCATATATCTTGTACCACATAATCGTTAATCTGAAGCTACATCATAGAAACGCTTCCTCTTTACCTTCACTTGTCAGAGAAGAGTTTACTCAAAGCTTCATACTCCATCATGTGACTCACTACCTCCGCTCCGGTCGGGTTTTTTATTTTTTTAACTCCATCTCGTTCCCTCTCACCCTCTCTATCTCTCTCAGACAAGCACACCTTAATCAACATTGTTTTGTTTAACTTTGTGTGGGAAAATGCCAAGAACGTTAAGAAAAAAATCAGTTTAATCAAATTAAAATGAAAAAAATATATACATAAATTTGTGTCTGGTTCTAGCATTTCATATTTCCTAGTTCCTACTGCATGAGTTCCACTTGTTCTGTAACAGTTCCTTTACTGTTGTGATCAAAAATATTTAATCTCAATTCTGAGGCTGCTCTGTAAATAGTTTTCAAATGAACAATACACATATCAACTTCTGATCATTCCATATCAATTTCAGACTTAAAATAATATGATGATGTAAACCACGCCCATTCCGAGTACAGACACGGATACAGATAATTTAAATGGTTGAACAGATACAGATACAGACAGTGGTGTACTCGCTCATCACTACTTGTTAGTATCAACATAAGCTGTTCAGATGGAAGTCTGCTCAATTTTTACTGGCAAGCAAAATTATATTTCTGTACATTAATTTGCTGCTTGAATAGGGCAATGCTGTGTATTACTATAATGCTGCAGGGTCAAAAGTTAGTTGAAATATTGCTGCGTTTACATCAAGGCTGACTTGGACCCACCCAGTATAAAGCAGCCGTCCTCAATAAATGGCCCGCAGGCCGGACCATTCTTTGTGGACATTCTTCGTGGATGCTTTGGCTGACCTCATCAGGTCAACTGGTTTAATTTTAATGTGGTTAAAATTAAACTACAAACCATTGTAGTTTGATTATCTGGTCAATTCAGTTCTGTTCAACTACAACGAAGGAGCAAGATAAGGACGTAACTCGTTCTTTATTTGATCCTGCCGCCTGAAACTCTTGGAGAAACTGTCTGATGTGGACTTTGTGGTGGAGTCAGATTATTCTGGGGTTTTTTTTTCAACTTTTTCTGAACTTTTCTCTGAATGTGAGAGGAGGTCAATGAGTCCTGCTACAGGATGGATTTCAAAAAGGGGGCATGTCTTGTTTCCAACTAATGCAGAGACTTTCTGGTGCTGGAAGTTTGATTTTTGGGCTCATGCATTATGCCATCACCAGAATTTACAACGTGCAATTTTCTTTTGATTGCCTCAGGCAGGCTCATGGATGCGTCGCCACATTGGAGACAGGAACAAGCGCTATTCAGCCAAAGTTTCATAATCAGGGAACATTCTGTAAGTGACAAGTCTCTGAGAGACAGGGTTTGGAAAACACTAGCATCAGTGAGAGGGATCTTCCCATATGCACTCTGGGTCTGCTGCTGCCTTTAACGGACTCACTCCAAGCCCCCCTCCACATCTTCGGCTCGCTGTCCGCCTTACATGCATCCTAGCTAGCAAGCTGTGCTAAGCAGTGTCTAGTATAATGCTCAGATGTTGATGGGAATCTTCTCTTTATTGATTTAGCTACCTCCTCGATGTGCGTAACGATTAAATTATCAGCGTATCTACGTGCGTCGGGGTGTCTTTCAAAACAACCAACAGCCTTGAGGTTTCTCCGACCCAAAAAGTAAATAAATAAATAATAAACGATCAAATTACGGGAAATATCCGGTCAATGCGAACTCTGCTATTTGCCTATTTTGCCTTCTTGTGAAGATTGTTGCAAAGGAAACAATTAAATTTGATTAACACCAGAGCCATGCACACTGAGCTGTTATTTCCGTCAATGTACATGAGTGAAAAATGAGTGTTCTTCTTTGGGTGTTTAGCATTTTTACAGTCATTGAACCACTTTCACTGCACTCACCACATACTCTCTTATCAGGTTCTCATGGTCTTCACTGAGGTACACACAAAGGCCTTTCACATCCAAGGTCAACGTCATCTTCCTATCGGATGTGGGACAGTTTTAATTTTAACTAGTACATTTTCTTAACGAGGATAGTTTGAATTGCATTTTCAAATCTCACATCTGTCATGTGGTCCATTATACTTTGCAGTCGTTTGCCATTCTGTCCACCTCTTTTTTTGTAGAGTGCAAGCAGTTTTGGAGAAAGAATGTGTCATGACTGAGGGAAGTTTCCTGACCCAAGACATGCAGAATTCACACTAGGAGACGTAGGTAGGAAAAAAATAAATGTTTTATTTTAAGGAGAACTAAAGGTGCACCGCCAGACGTGGCGGTGATGTTGAGCACAGCTCCGGGGCTGGGTCTGTTGAGACAAACACTGTCAGTGTTGGGCAGCGGGGAATAGAATTGCAGGACTCAGTTTGTAGTGGATCTTACTGTGGGGGCTGAAATCCAGAGCTTGGGAGGGTAGCCAGGACTGGGGTGAGCAACGTCAGCGTGAATCCAAAATCCAAGGGAGGTGAGCGGTGGGAGAGCGGGTCGGTCCGGGTGAGGAGGGAGATCAGGCTTGGAGATGAAAAACCAGGTTATTGCAGGAAAGGTTTGTGGTGAGAATTCCTGATGAAGGGAAGGCAGAGGTCATCAAAAACCAACAATGACGACGGACAAATATAAGGCTAGACTAAAGCTGTAGTTTTCTATAGCGGCAAGAGCTACCCAAGTTGAGTAATCTTCCGGCAAGGTGAAGTGATCTCCAGCTCCTTTTAACCACATGAAGTAGATGAGGGAAATCATCGCAGCTGGCCGCTCTCCGGAGCCGCCCACCTGCAATGACTTAAGGTGATTAGAGGAATGTGCAGACTCACCCCAGATCCTGACAGAATGTCGAGCTGCGAAAGGAACCGGGACTGAAGTGGCAGGGTAGTGATTCTCTTGAACTCAGCATTTATCTGGACAACCAAGACAAAATTTTCAGTCAACATTTATAAAACAACTTTAATTTACATAAACTATTTTATTTACCTCCAACATATTAAAGAGAGCCGGCCATCGTTCCTGAACATCTTGAACCATGGGTGTTTCGCGAACAACCTCCAATCTTCTATAAGAGAAGGTCTTGCCCATTTTCTGCCTCACTACTTCCTTATTGTTTCTCTTTTTTACATCTGATAGAAGCTGTACTCGAAGCTTTTCTAAGCTTTCCTCTGACTCTCCTATTGGATAAGGAGGGCAGTAGTTCACTTCAGATCGTCTTGGCTTTTTAGTGGCAAAGAGGGCCTTTTCCTTGTGGCTCAGTGCATTGACAGTTACTTCATGACAACCAAGTTTTCGTAACTGACTGCGATAGATTGCTAGCTTGTTTTTCAAACGATGTTTCCATCGACACTGTAAAACCTGATAAGTTAAGCTAACTCAAATGATTTGGGGAAACCAATTGCACAAATTGATTTAAGTTTTGTAACTCAAACTATTTGAGTTTATTTAATTATGCGAGTAGAGTCTAATTAATTCAATACAATTATGATACGTTAACTCAAATGGTTATGTTTATCAACTATTTTTATTTAGTATAGTCAACTTAAACCTTTAAATAAGCGGCACTAAAATGCCGTATATATTTTAACTTATTTAAAATAAATTCCTCTTTCATAATCCGACTGAGTTAAATTAACTTGAATGGTTCTTAGTTGAATAACTAAAGTTACTCAATTCAACTGGGGAAACCGATTGCACCAAACCGTATTAGTAGTATTAACACAACAACAAACTCGGACTTTCTCCATTCAGTTTTATTAACTTGAACTGCAGAAAAAACAGAATGATAACAACTGCACATTTTTTCAAATTTGCTAAATGCTTTTTTCCACTGTGTGTACATAAAATGTTCCGTGAGAATAATTCCAGTATTTTTAGTTGCCATTAACCATCATGACCTGAATTTTAATTAAGAATATCCAGATTTATTGACATGCACCTAACGAAAATGCAAACAAAGCTTAACTACAAGGATGTCATCAGCCATTATTAACACATACTGTAGGAATACAATATTAAATTTCAACGCTGTTATTGTACAACAGTTTGCTTAAAGATTAGTGTCCTCAACTGCTGTGGCCAAACCTCAATGGCAAAATGGAAAGATGTCATTTGACAATAAAACATAGTGATTACAAATGTCAATTTGGACTGATCATCAGTTATTGAACTTTGAAACTTGCTGACATGAACCTAAATACAAATATATCATAGAGGAACAATGACAAGTGTTTATGAATATTGTAGGAATGCAATAGATGAAGTCAATATAAACATATGTAAAAAAAATCTTCAAAGATACTTGTGGCCTCCCAGTTTACCTTAAAAGTGTATCACAAAAATGTCAAGTATTTGAAATGTTTCTTTATTAGCTTTCAGCATATTGCTGTTTTAGAAGGCTGAGAACATGGACATATAAAACTATTGACTTGAAGCCATTCAAAGATTAATGAACAAGCAAGAACATGTGAAAAACAAAGCCCATCTACACCAGCTCATTTTTCAGTGTCTGTAATTTTGGTCTGAGTTGCTTTCTCTCATCGTCTAGCTTCAGCAACACTACTTGAATGAACTCAAAAAAGCTACTACACTTCACAGGATAGCTGAGATGCAGAGCATATATTAGCCCAAACAAACACACCAAAGCATCAGTCCATCTGTAATGAGTCATTACAACCTGATCTTCAAGAACAACGAACACTTGGCGTGGTGAGAAAGGAACTCCAGCAGGCACATCCTCTTCACCCACATCAGCAACCAGCGCAAGTGCAGCTTCATGGAACTCCATTTCATCCTGTCACACATCAAAATTATTGATGAGAACTATTTATGTCAGATATAAAAATCAACACAAATACAAATAGCCAGATACCTTAAATTTTTTCAAATTGTATGTATTACCACTTTTTTGTCATTTCAATAGGAAAATTATTGCAATTCCCAAGTATAACATACCTTGCATGTTTTGAAAATGCCTGAAGAATCCTCCTTGAGGTAAATCGGCAGGCCAGCCAGGGCTGCTGTTCTTGTTGTGCAGATGTCATTCTTGTCCTTAAAGGACAAAAAATATATAAAACATGACAAATGGGACTACCATGCAAACAGTAGAGTGAAAGTATTTTTAAGTACCTGTTGCTCATATTCCAACAACAGCTGGTCCATGTTTTCACCAACCCGTCCAGTTTTCTTCTTTTTGTAAAGTCCAATCAGCCGAGGAGCATATTCATCCAGTGCAGCATAAAAAACATGTGGTAGATGAAGATTGGTAATCCGGTGAAATTCACAGTAGAGCTGAAGAGAATAAACCAAAAATGATATGAAAAAAAATGCTGTATACTTTATAAGCAGTAAATTTAATATAGTTGTACTTACCTGTGTCTCATTAAAGAGAGCTGGCCATCTGTCCTTAAGCTCTGATACAGGAAGAGAAGATGTAATGATCTCTTCACGTCTCAGGGAAAAAGTGCGCATCATGTGCTGATGAATGAGTGGAATGTCCCTTTCAGCAGAGGTCTTCCGGAACTCTTCTATCATCTCAACCCTCCTTTTCTCCAGAGACTCTCTTGTTTCTCCAGAAGGACAACTGGGAAGGAAGTTGACCTCACCTCTCTTAGGTCTTTTACTATTGGCTCTTGGTGCAGCTCCTTCTGGGTTTGTTCTGCTGCGTTTTCCAGAGTTTACAGCAACATCTCTGATGCCGGCTTTGGCCAACTTCTTTCTTTGGTTTCCTATTTTGTGTCTCAAACTATTCTTCCATCCTTCCCAACCAGTGTCAGAATTGTTCTCCTTCAGACAGGGATGCTTTTCAACTAAAGCCTTTGCAGCCTTTCCAATCTGTGTGCTACTAGGATATGCCTTCAGTTTAAAAATTTTCTTCCCCCATTACCTCGAGTATGTTGTGTTTTTGATCTCTAGGAAGTCTAATTAGTTTCCCATCTTTTTCAAATGCTGCATTACCTTCCTTTAGCACATGTTCCACCTCATAAGAAAATTTTGGAACAATAAAAACCTCTGGCCACCGACTAATACGCTCTGGTGAATCTATGGCATCAGTGCTATCGTTCAGAAGACTTGTCTCACTAGTGCTGGTTGAAATCAAGTCCAGCTCCACTAATCTGATTATTTTAACCGATGCTGTGCTTGGGAGGTGTTCCATTTCAACCAAATTACACAATGCATGATCAAAATCTGGATCTTCAAACTGAAGCCTAAAGTCAAAAGTCAACTTTAGCCTAGTTTTGATTTCATCTATGAGGGCCTGTACACTGCTTGGGCGAGATGGCAGAATAAGTCTTTCAGCATTATCATTATCAAGGATGACCCTTAGCTTCAGTCTCTCTGTTGCCTCCATCTGAAGTTGTAGGTCCTGTAACATACAGGATTCAAATAATATAGCGACATTTCAACACACTCAGAGTTCTCATGCCATGTATGCATTACCTGTACACTGGCAGAAGGGCTGGGGAGATCCGCTGATATTTCAGTTCTGTTTCTTTAGTCAGACACTGGAATGAAATGTTTTGTTGTTAGAATTAGTTCATTTGCAATCTTATAAGCAAAATGTGGCAGGTGGTCAGACAGCTGGCACACAGATTTGACACTATGACTCTCCGGTATATGCTCGACTAGTTCGTATGACCTCAAGTGCTCAACATACAAAGTGTCGTAGTCTTTTAAGAGAAAATGCATTTTGTCGCTGATGAGTAGGATGTTTCGAATCTCTTTGAACTCTGGCAAGGCTGCATAAGCACCAGTACATACAAACATGCCAATTGCAAAGCTTGTGCCATCAATTGAGATATTTTTTGTTCCATAAACTGTGTCACTGTCAACAATACCTGAGATAAATGATTGTGTATCTGCAGGTAGTGATGAGATGTACATAGACTCCATTTTGGATGTCTGAACATGTGGTTTGAAAAACTTTGAGGATGACAAATAAAATGCCATCTGACTTTGATGTCGCTCTGCCAAAGTTTTTAACACATTTTTGTAGTTGTGAGTGTCATGAATAATTTTTTTGAAAACCTTATGCTTTCCCTCAAATCTCATTGTCCAAAGGTGGACCAAGGGACCAAAGCATTTTATCAAGTGTGGGTAATGCTCGATGTAATGATGCTTTGGCCTTAATCGAACATTAGGAAACACTTCTTGGAAAAGTTGCCGGTGGTCCAATATTTTACAAGCCAAGTACTGAATGGTCTCTTCATTAAAAATCTGAGACATGGCAAGCTGAACGACATCCTTTAACTCCATTAGCACTTCCCAAAACGTGTCTCTTTCTGGGACTTTTGAGCCAATGAGAAGAGGCAACATTATAAGCAGGGCATGATTTTCATGAGCATTCCCACCAATGGTCCCTCGACTGGCAAAATTAGTGGGTATTGGATGAGGGCGATCAACTTTGTCAGAATGTTGATATGGAAAGTGCAATATTGCTCGATTTAAGTCTTCTAATGTAAAATATTTACTGGAAATCAAACCTTTTAAGCAATGAGCTATCTCCACTGGAACAACGCCTTCAAACAGGTCGTGCAGGAGGTCAGGTGGGAAGCCTGTGACAGGATGGAAGAATGACAGATGGTCAGAAAGAACACAACTGTTTTTGACATCACAATTTCCCTCACTGCCATCGCTCTGAAGCTCTGGTAAAAGATTGTCATGAAGATCCTTTGTTCTCAGCACATAATCCCCTGTAACTGCATTTTTTGTCTGCATTTCTATTTGTGTGGCATGACAAAACCTGCAGAAATGTGTAGACCTGAAGCTCTCATTGAACCCAGCAAGCCCATGTGCGGCAAGGTTATCTGCCACAACACAGTAGACAGTGCCTTTAAGACATTCACCAAGGGTATCAATGTAGATGCCTACTTCTTCAAGAGTTTTCAGATCATTTAAGAGTGGTGACATCATTTTCTTAAACCCAAACAGGCGCACATCATTAGAGTTGCACAGGAGAGCAAGCTGAGTGCAGTGGAGAGCAGAACGGGATTTAACTGGAAAGTTTGCCAGTGTCCAATAAACTGCAAAAACTTTATGTATTTTCTTTGAAGTACCGAGTGGGTTTGCAATTTCAAAATCATCCACATAAAGCATTATCGAAAGTTTTGTTCCCTCTTGTGAGAGTAGAACATTTTCCTGGTAGTAGGATCCATCACAAAATGACATGAAATGTCCAGGTATCTGAGTGGGTGTTTGTTGAACTTTTTCAAGGAATTTGGTTTTTTTCAACAACATTTGCAAAGATGTAAGAATTGACACATACATGTATGTGTGCTTTGATGATTCAATTAAATACTCCACAGGCTTGACATACGGAAAGTTTGCTTCATAGTAAGATTTTCTCATCTTTGCTGTTGACAGTGGTCCACCAGATGTGATACATTTATGTAAAACATTACTATCAGAAACTGCCTGACAAATGTCATCGACCAGTTTGTCAGTATATAGACAGTTATGCTTCTTCAGTATATCAACTACTGATGTTTTAATGAGAGGTTCTGTTAACAAAAACAGGTGATCAATGTGCTCAATGATAGGGCTGTAGCGAAGACTCGACGAAGTCGACGGCTCGATTCTAAAAATTTGTCGACGTCAGATCCGGAAGTCGACGCACCGCGCCCACTTGTTGCATCCCCAGGAGTTTGTAAATAGAGGAGGAATCTGCCCGTTCTTCCTCTAGTTCGCCCTCTTCTCCGCCTTCACTAAAATCTCCGCCAAATACCGAAGACCCGGAACAACGTCCGTCCACTACTAGATTATTTTCCTGTTTTGCCCCTTCGTCTCCCGGCAACGGACAACAACTTCCGGGGTCAGATGCGCTGCTTCGTGTCTATCGCAGATGTAGAAAATCACCGGGAGCGCTTCTCCCTTCATTAAGGAGCTTCTTTCAGACATGAGGAGAGCTGTTTTGGTGGTAGCAGTCTCTCCTCCGTGCTGGTCTGTTTGCTGCTGGGTGTTTTTGGTTTATTTAAACTTGGTAACTTGAACTTAACGTTGGTAAAGCTACTGTTAGCATCTTCGCTAACAGCTTCTTGCGTTGGGATAAGCTGTTACGTTTTGGTTTAGAGTTCATCTTTTTTGTGGTGTAGATCTCCCTTTTATTACATTTAGAGTGTTGTGGGTTTTCGGTTTAATGTAAAATACCACCTGAGTTTGGTTTAACCCGTAAGACCACTCGCCTCACGCACATAAGTGACCAAAACAAAGCAGCATGGAGACACTCCATCTTCTACCACCTCTCAGGCAGCAGCCTGCACTCCCAAGTTCTACACGTCACCAGAACATAACCAACCGCAACACAATAAAAGCAGTGTTATACAAAATGGAAGGCCTGTAGTGTTTATTCTCTTACAGTAAGAATTTATCAATTTTTTTGAGGAATTTATTTGAGATTTTCTGGTTTTTGTTAATTGTGCAATAGAAAAATAATCATTAGATTAATTTTCTAAATAGTCATTAGAATAGTCGACTATTCGATAAAATAATCGTCAGAATAATCGTTTTAAAAATAATCGTTTACCCCCAGCCCTACTCAATGATCTCCTGTGTTGCTCTCTGGGACACATGGAGAATGCTCTGCATTTTCAAGAAAAAGCCAGCTAGATTGTGCTGCAACTGCTCTTCTAAACCGTCAGTTGTACTCATTTCACTAGTGGATGCCACTTCACTTTCATCTAATGGTTCTACTGAATCAAGCTGCATAACATCCTTTTGGCCTACATTTAGGACACTTTGCACAATGCCTTCATCATAATGTGCTGAACTTTGGTGTTCTCGGCATTTGTGCACATTGAATGTTGAGTATACATTGGTTTTAAAATTGCAGCCCTTGAAAGGACATGGAACAATTTCTTTCAGTTTTAAATGCCCCCTCAGATGGATAAACATTTGCCTTTCAATAAATGGCTGCTTAAAGTTACACACAGGGCAGCAAAATCCATAATTATTAAAAGCTGGATTTGAATGGTCTTTTCTTTGTGTAGCAGTATGTATTCTTGACATATGTACCTTTAATGAATTAAATGTACTAAATGTACACATGCAGGTGGTGTAGAGACAGGGTAAAGGTGAAATTGTGGAGTACTGGCCATGGTTAAGCCGGTAATGTTTCAGCAACATGACTTTTATCGCAGTAGAAAAACTACACAACTTGCAATTCCACATTTTGTCATAAATCAAAGGGTCCCCAATAAGATGTCAAGTGTTTTATATCACCTTCACTGGCCGTTTTTAGGTGTTTTATAACACCTTCACTGGCCGTTTTTAGGTGTTTTATATCACCTTCACTGGCCGTTTTTAGGTGATGAAAAGCAGTGGATGATCTCTCCTTGTGCGCAGCTTCTTCAGTCAAAACACTGTAATGTCACAGAAAACAAAAATGTTAATGTATTTTGGCAAGTGAACAGAAAGCCAGCAAGACAAGACTACAACAAAATATGCTGAAGTTGAATGGCAGGAGTTTCAAAAAACAGTTTATTGAGTAAATGATAAAATAGTCTTGCTTAATGTTATGTGATGGACAGAAGATGGAAGCTGCCGAGCTCCGAGGGTGTGGTGATTGGACACCAGCTGGTCCTCGTTATGGATAACGAGGCCAGGGAGGATAAAAGGGTGACAGACCTACTGAGAGGGGTGCGTGGTCGACCTGTCATTGTGGCATCGGACTTTGGGGGGTGGGGTCGTTCGCAGCCGGGTAGGGCTGCCGGCGACGAAGATAGCTGAACAGGTGTTTAGTGTTCCAGCGCCAGGAGGGAAGGCTGGTCGCCTTCTTTAGACAGTTAGGGCTGGGCATAGGTGATGCCAAGGCCGCGCCGACATATGCCGCTACGGACTCTGGCAGTGGACTTATGTTGTGGATTTACCCGCCGTCCTCGCAAGCTACACCCCGGGGCGTTGGACGGCGTTGGAAGCTCAGACCCCGGGGACGGGGGTCACACCATCCGTGACAGCTAAGTACCGCTGCTTATGTGACTCATGCTGGACAGTTGGTTTTAGAAGAGAGGGCTTGGGCCATGGTGTTTTATCGTTGTGTTTTATTATTGATTGTGCAATAAAGTGTGTCTTTCATAAGTCGTTGCCTACTGGTGGTGTGTTCAGGTTCTGACCGGAGGGCAAGATATTCTGCCCGTGCTGCCCACGGCTACTTTTATTACAGTTAGAATTAAATTAATCTACCCTTTTCACACATGTGGTGTAAAAAATCCTTGAATGTTACAAAGTGCAGTCAGAAATTACTAACAATAATTTAAACGTTAAGTTTTATGTCATTAATTTTGGAAAAAGTTTCAGCACTTAGTTTTTACTAAAATGGCGCCCATGGTTATATTTAAATTTTTTACCAGCGGTCTTGTCGTATACTCTAAAATGAATCGTACATAAGGACTAGAAAAAGTTACGCTAGAAATGTCTAAACTTACTTTACTGTGTGAAGCTTTAAAAAGATAGACTAGCAACAACCATCTAACTAAAATAAGCCACCAACCGTTATATTTTAAATCAATACAGGCGGGTATCTTAAAGGCCCAATGTGTGATATTTCATCTTATAAGTTATCAAATTTCTTGTATCACATTCTCAAATTTGTTTTTTTTAATGATAATTCAAACAAGCATTTATTCTAAGCATTATTATTAGCTTTATATTTTAATATTTTAGACAAAAGAAGCAGACCGGTGCTCCATATGGCATGCGCCATCTTAAAATACAGTGACCTTTTAGGGACATACAACATATTAAGCTTCGCATTTGATGTTTGCGTTTTTAAATGATGTAACCTCAAAGAAACAGCAGGGGGCAGAAGTGCGCCTTGTAAGCATGCAGTCTGACAAAGTAACTAAGAAGAAGAAACTAGCCACACCGTACTTCTAGCGATGGAGGATCACACATATTCTACAAGCAAACTTGAGAAACGGGATAGTTTGTCTCATCCAAGTAAAAGAAAAAGGATTTTGAAAAGTGAACAAGATCGGCGTCATGAGAAAACCAGAGTAAATATAGGAGTTGCCTTCCCAAGATGGAGAGACCTCATGTTACAAAAGGGATTCAGTAGACACGCTGAGCTTGCTACCTTCCTTTTGGACAGGTAAGTTAAAAATGTGTGTTTAATTTCTTCATTGTAGTAGTTGTGTGCTTTGTGACACAAAGTTTGTGTGGAGTAAGCTAGAGTTTGGGAAACAGCTCATGCTAACTAGTGCCAAAAATGTAGCACACCATCTTAAAATTCAGAAGCATTTCTTTTTGTTTATTGTTTATGCGCCTTCGTATACATATTTAATGATTTAACGATCGCTACCACACCGCTCGTTTTTGGAGATTACCGCATGCTCCGTGACGAGCAACCAGAACAGAAACAAAACATTATCGGCTGCCCGCTCCAATTACACAACACACTTTGTGTAATCATTGTCACAGGTTCGTTACCGACGGTTACACACACAGAACTAAACACCACACTGGCATTTTCACACAAATTTTTGTCAGAGATGATCTGCAGCACAGCACCTTCCCCCCCACGCTCGATCGACTTGACGTATATGTGAAATTATGATGTTGAATCCTGTATTTGCTGAGGGACTAATTTCCCTTTCATGTGACATGTCAGAAAAATGAAGTTTCTATTCTATGTTATGTACAAACTCTGTAAAAGATTAACACAAGTATAATATCTGATCGTGCATGTTTTTGTGTGTGTGTGTGTGTGTGTGTGTGTGTTATATAATACAAGCACACACGTGTAATAAATAAAATAAATTTGGAATTTTTCTACTGATGTTTTACAGTTATGAGAGGACTCTAGCCACCACAACATCTACCCCCATGAAGGGGAAACATAGATCAATGGAAGATCCACCATTGTCCAGCATTTCAAGCGGAAATGAAAAGCAAGTTTTTTCCAAAAAACCTCATAGCTAATTTCAAATCGTTATACTACAACTAAATTTTTTTTCATTTTATTTTATTCTTTCCTATAAATAAGAGATGAACACTTGAGTGGAGTCACAGGAACACCAGAAATTGAAAGCCTTCAGCAAAGAATCCATATGTTGTTTGTAGGATTATAGCCACAAAATCTATTTTCATTATAATAATGAGCATTTTCTGTTTTTCTCTAAGCGTGCATGACATGGTTATTTCTGAAGATGACCTGGATGAGGATGTCTTCAATGATCCCATGAACAGTGTGTCAGTTACACTAACTCCTTGTTTACTCTACTGCTTGTGTATTGTCAGACTTGATATACAGATATTTTACTAAAAACATTTACAGAATTGACTGGGAGGACAGGGAGAATATGAGTAGTGCGGAACAGAGGGATGACAGCTCAGATGATGAGTATCTTCCTCCAATATCTATACGGTGAGTTATAAATTGTGATTAATTTTCATTTTGTGTCATCCTTTGGAATTCTTTTCCTCCAAAACTTTGTGTTCTTCTCCCTTAGAATGGGTGGTGCACTAAAATCAGCTCCTTCCATAGATGGTCTTCCTATAATTGGCCTTGATGAGACAGTGCATGACCTACAAGGTTGTGGAGATGATCCTCAGGAGTGCTTGGCTGATGTTGATGTGCCAATTTTGCCAGGAACAGAGAAGGTCATTGTTGCGGAAGACATCGTTGGTGTCCGAGCAGCAGTGGTGTATGAGAACAGCTTGAAGCAGCTTGTTGAGTTTATAACCCTGCCATTGGACAGGTGCACCGCTTTAACCCACAAAGCTGAAGTATGTGGCAGTCGTGCTCCCTTTCACAAAAAAATCTCCTACAAGGGCACAGCTATCAGTGTACAATGGGTAAGCATCACTGAAAAAAATCATATCAAATGTATGCTGTTTCGTCAAGCCTTCTCCTACAAAGTGTATGAAGCCAGAGTTCTCCTTGCAGCACTGGATTATAACTTTCACCTTAATCGACCAGCAATCAGGAATGCTGAAGGCCAACTAATGTAGGTTTTACCTTTTTTTTTCAGTCAGAGTTGAGCCAAAATAATGCCTACCACTTACAATTAAAAAGCTGTATTAACGTTACTACACGTTATTTAAGTTTGTCCCATTGTCGTGACAGAAATTCATTATGCAATTGTCCTATTTTTTAGATTCAAACGGAAGTACAATAAGAATGCCAGAAGGTACAGTGTGTATTCACTAAAATCAGAAAAGGGCTACGAATACATTCCAGTACTCCAATCAAAAATAATCAACGAGAGGTTGGCGAGAGGAGTCGGGATGCCTCGTACCAGATCAATGAGGGATGATGACCCCAGACGGCTCGGTCTTGTGCCACCCATCGCTCCACCACCTATTTCGGAGCTAGTGCAGATCCAAGTCAGCCGAGGTCTTGGTATGTGTCATTTTAGCATCCTTTGACTACAGCTCAGTTCTTTACCTACACTTGTCTTACAATACTTTTTTCACAGTATCAGAACTCAACACAGCTACAGGCCTCCAGTGACGATCTTGTCTACATTTACATGGAGTATTCTATACCTGCTGCGTGTTACTAATGTAATGTACATAAAAATGTAGATATTGCACTTTGATGTCTTTCCTACTGTGCTAACATGTTGTTCTTTTTACTTGAAGTTGCACATAAATTCTGCACAGTCTTTTACGTTAGATCTATTCTTTATTATCCTAAAGTGTGTAAAATCATGTTTCAAGATTAAAATGTGTTCCAAATTTGTCTGTTCAAACTCTGAATAAGGTTAATTCAATTAAAAGTGCATCTGTACTAATTTCTTTATTTCTTATGTCTTTCAGAAAATTACATATTTTTTGTTTCATGACTTGACCCTGTAAGAGTGTAAATTAATAGCTCACTAATGTAATGCAAAACTATGGAGTTGTAACCTTCCTCTCCCTCGTCCTCTGTCTCCACTGACGAACCATCGGATGATATCTGACTCTGTTTACGGAGAGAAAACAATTACAGACTACACTACCTTGTATATTTCCAAAATGGCAAATAGAAATATAACATTTCTCAAATAAAATGAACAAAATATTGTCATTTTTTGTAGTCAGAAGTCATCACTAACTAGCTGCCGTTTGCTATTAGCAAACATAACTGACATAAAAAAGTTTTTCTTATTCAACACCTATTTAGATTAAATTAATAAAATAAGTTAGATGAAAACAACTAACCTGTTCGCTAACTTGAAAGCTGGAATTAGATGATGACATGCTGCCGTTTACAGCAACACGATTTTGTATTGTATTTGTTATATTTGTTAATAAAGTTTTAAATAATGATTAAAAAAACCCTTTTTGATCCTCGGGGGCTCCAATAGCTGCAATACCGACTCTAAACTGCGTGGTGCTAAAGAGTCGGATCTTTTTACTATGATTTCTGTGAATTTCACACACGGGGCCTTTAAATGAACCATGTAAAGAACACGAGAACTAGAACGTTAAGATAGAAATTAATACACTTTATTTTACAATTTAAAGTAATATGAAGTTAAGTTCAGTGAAAGGGTAGGTTAAACTAAACTAAAATATAACTCTAACCGTTACTTTTTAGATTTGTACAGGCGGGCATCTCAAAGGAACCATGTAGGCTGTGTTAAGAAAACACGAGGACTAGAAAGTTCAGATTGGAATTAAAAAAACGTTATTTTACTGTTAAAGATAATATAGTTAAGTTCTGTGCGATGTAGCTTTGAAAATGTAGGTAGTAACAACTACCAAAAACATTCAAATTTAAGGCGGGCTTCAAACAATCAGTCTCGAGTTGAGCTAGCAAGCTCCGTTTTTCTACACATCAGCTAAGTAGTCTGATTAACCTGCAACGTCTGTTCAAGCATTTAAACAAAAACACAGTTACCTTGTAATTCTGGCAATGTGGTTAAAATGCCTCTAATGGCCGCTGGCGCTGCTGTTGTCGGTAGCATAGCACCCAGAGCTGTGTTAGCATCTCCGTGTGCAAGGCTCAGTGATGACGTAGGAAAAGCAAAAGGGAGGGGTTATTTTTTTTGTTTGAAATGAGCGACCTCAACTTAAACAGTTTAAAAGCACATTACTCCAAAGAAAAGATAAACACAATTATACTAATTATCAATGAGTTTTAACATCACACTGTTAGTTTGGGGTTTTAACTAATTGTATAAAAGTAATAACTATTTAGCTAAAGTGAGTGAAAATAACTGACATCATTTTAGTAAGAAGCACTATTGGGAATTACAGTGCAGCGTATCCAGTTATTGAACCTCGCTCTAGCAGACAAGGATGCTTCTTGATGAGGGCCTCTCCCACGCAGCTGAACTGGTTATCAGTTATGTATAGTCCATAACAAACAATTTCTTGAATAAGACAATCCAGAATGTTTTACAGTAATTTACAGTCTGGGATAAGAAGTGTTTTTATCTCCCTGTATTCAGCATTAGCTTTTTCAAGTTTGAACTCAGAATCAAATGCAAACTTTGGCACACAAAACTTGGCTGGCCATTGCAACCTTGAAAGTGACTGCTCAGACTCGGCAGGAGGAAGGTGCTCTATGTCAGGATAGCTCACACCAGAAAAACTTGAAGCTGATCTTTTCTCTACAGCTTGTGGTCACATCCAGCGGTTAAGGAAGAAGACTGGGAAAACCCAACTTCGGAGAGATCAACTACCTTAATTGTGCCTCTGTTTTGTAGTTCAGATGTTGATGTCAGATTCATAAAGTCATTGTCAAAGAGTGAATCCATAATTGTAATTTGAGGTTGTATGTCAGTCCACACTGACGTTGCACTTCCTCCATCAGCTCTGGAACAGACTGAGGAAGTCCATTTGAAAGTATTAGCCTCTGGCTAGTGTTATCCACCAGGATAACTTTCAGTATGCAGGGTGAATTCATTGTTTTCAATCTGAAATGACAAAAAGCACATAATAAAAAATCTACAAATAGACAGTAACATGTGTCACAAAATGATATAAAATCTGATGTAAAAGCACACAGCACAATAAAAAAAAATAATAATAGATACCCTGCCAAAGGTCATACGTGACCGAAACACGTCGATTTTCTTGATCTAATAATAGGAGGGTTCCTCGGATCACCAATTTCCCCCCAGTCTACATCCCAAAATAAATAATAGTTTTCACGTTGATCTAATAGCTAGGGATGCTCTGATCAGGTTTTTTGCTGCCAATCACCAATACAGATCTCAGATACCTATCACTGATACCAATCACAAGGATGAGACATGTTCACAATGACTGAGAATCTACATGCAGCAAAGCATGAATGATTCAGTCAGAATAGAGCTGGGCAATTAGGCCTAAAATTGGTGCATAGCCCTGGATTAGTCAACTAGTGGTTGCGAAGTGTCTTTGAGCCACTACAGTCGAGGCCACACCTCTTCCCAACAGCAGGGCGACGCCTCAGGCCGCTCGCAGGATGTAGTCTAACGTGACCTGTACCTCATTGATGAGGGGGGTCTGTGGGCTGTCTGGTGGGACCCTTGCTCCAAGGTCTGCCAGACAAAGTGTGGGCAGTGGAGGCCTGCACGCGGTACAGATGAGAAGAGGCATAGTCTGTCCGCTTACTCTATTATTGCAGGTCGGGGCCAGGTAAGCCGACGAGAGGGCTCCATTGGAGGGAGGTTAACCAATCCTGCCATTTTGGTGTCGTCGAGGCTCAAAAACTGACCGTAACCCGGGACTGAGGTGCAGGTGGATAGCGGCTTGGCCTAGGATGCAGTGAGCTCAGCCACAAAATCCAGGTACAGTGGTAGAAAGTTCTTTACTAGGGCAGAACGATCTATCGTTTTTGACCGAAATTGCGATTTCAAACAGCACGATCACGTGACCGTCAAAGCTGGGGTTTTGACTGATCCAGGATCAGTTGTGTAACTTTTTTTTTCTTCTTTTTTTTACATCTGAAGTTTTCTCTCTATTATGGCGACGGCAAATGCCAGCGCAGGGGAGGGGAGTGGGATGTACCATCCAGAACCGAGCCCAACTCCACAGCTGACAGAGCTGCATGTTCAGCTTATTTTCCCTGTTTTATGTTTCCACACACAGCGCTGCTAGAGCCGATAACAACGGCACCGTAGGTGAGCCCGGGACAGAGCGAGATAGAAAACATAGTTGAGTAATGGAGAGAGAGACTCCTCCCACATCGGAGCAGGTTCAGGCTGATTTCTAAAGCTTGGTTTATGCTTAATCAGCGCGAGTGCAGAGTCGCGCATTCTAATTGACTTGAAAGCTCAACTTCTCTTTTAAAAATGGTTTGAATGTTTCTGATGGCACACGTAAGTTCAAACAAGCTAAGGTGTCAGAATGCGTGCTTGAATGCGTATCAAACGGCTTTGAAAAACGTGCAGCCAGCCTGCCTTGGTAATGCAGGAAAAACTGTGTGCATTTGTTATTTAATACATTTAAAAGCTATTTCTACCTACAGATTTCCTCCATGCATTTTTGGCGTAGAACATGTTTCATAAAGCTCCTCTCTAGATAAAAAGCACAAACACAAGTTGCTTCACAAACACATTAAAAATTAATGGGAGAAAATATTAATAGCTTTAACTGTTTTTATTGTATGATTAAATAGTAAATATAAATGTGAATGATTTGTTGTACTAGATTAGAATCTAGACCATATTTTCACTTAATCTGCAGGATTGCTTGGCAGGCTAATGTTGGACCTTTGTTTGCAGAAAATTGTGAATTGAACCAAAATCGCAATTTCTGCTAGAAAAATTGCAATTCAGTTTTTTGTTAAAATCATTCAGCCCTATTCTTTACCTCTGCTGGTTTCGAGGGGAGGTAAAACCCAGAAAAGTGGGACCTCTTTTGTGCAGGTGCAGGAGCGGGCCGGTCTACTTTGAGCCTCTCCGCTGCACGCCAGCAGAGCGGGAGAAAAGAAGTGTAATTTCGTAGCTCGGAGGCTGAGGTAGCGCCTGGAGCTGCACACACCACCGCTAAGAAGACCTCCTCGTCCTCGAGTAGGTCGTGACCATAAGAGCAAATGTCCAAAATGTCTCCTTCATCCTCTTCCAGAGGAGGAAACTGAGAAGCCTCTAGGTCTGGTCCGGTTAAATTGTCCGTCATCTCCATCTGATCTGCCCAGCTAATAGCGGGGACATTGATCGCTAGTCTGTCCACGTCAGAGCCGGGCGAAGCCGGGGCTGAACGGGAAAGCATGGGGTCCTACTGCAGCGTCCTACTGCAGCGTCTCCCGGGAGACATTTTAGAAACTTTACGTGCCATTCGAGCGTGGGACGGCAGAGTTGGCGACAGAACTCGCATGCCTCCGGGTCTACAAGAGCTCTTCTGATGTGGAGAATTCCCAGACAAACCGGGAATGCTTCGTGTAGGTCCTTCTTGTGAAGAGAGAATCCACAGTCCTGAAGACAGGGGTGCGAAGCGGCTTTCAGTGAAGCGATATCCAACGCGGTGCTCATTGCAAGACACACAGTGGAGTGGTACACCTGATGGAACAAAGGCAAACAAGCTGAAAAGCCATGAAAGATAGCACTCGGTGGGCGAGAACGCTAGCCAGAAGGCAGTAGAGTCCAGTCAGCAAGCGGTTAAGCTATCTTTCACTAGCGCAGCTGCTTCTTAGGTTTGTTCTCAGCGAGGTGAAGAGCGTAAGAACCGGGGAATGACAGTGACACGGTTGCAGAGTCATTAGCCTTACAGGCATGATTAGATGAGTATTCAGCCAGGCCACACGAGGGTGTGATGTCCCATAGTACCTTTGTTGTACCGAGTCAATCGATTAAAAGGGAACTGCTGC